CTTTTTAACATGCTGTCTAGGTTCGTCATCGCTTTCCTCCCAAGAAGCAGGCGTGTTTTAATTCTGTGGCTGCTGTCACCATCTCCAGCGATCATGGAGCCCACGGAAGTAAAATCTGTCACTGCCTCCATATCTTCCCCTTCTATTTGCCAGGAGGTGATGGGACCAGTGGCCATGATCTTAGTTTTTTTGATGCTGAGCTTCAGACCATTTTTGGCGCTCTCCTCTTTCACCTTCATTAAGAGGTTCTTTAATTCCTCCTCACTTTCTGCCATCAGAGTTGTATCATCTGCATATCTGAGGCTGTTGATATTTCTTCCGGCAGTCTTAATTCCGGCTTGGGATTCATCCACTCCAGCCTTTTGCATGATATATTCTGCATATAAGTTAAATAAGCAGGGGGACAATATACAGCCTTGTCATACTCCTTTCCCGATTTTGAACCAATCAGTTGTTCCATATCCAGTTCTAACTGTTGCTTCCTGTCCCATGTATAGATTTCTCAGGAGATAGATAAGGTGGTCAGGCACTCCCATTTCTTTAAGAACTTGCCATAGTTAGCTGTGGTCCACACAAAGGCTTTTGCATAGTCAGTTCGTTTTATAGGTCAATCCTAAACATTTTTACTCAGAGGTAAGCTCCACTTTGTTCACTGGGGCTTATTTATACTGTAAGCATGTCTCCGCTGAGCCTTAGGCAATGTATCTGTTAGTGTTGGCTGCTTATTTGACCACCTGCCTATCCTGTCACCCAGTTGAGTCTCGTGTAGCAGACACGCATACAGGCACATAAAATAATAACATAAATCCCAGGATGTGGCGCTGGGCAGGCCTAAACCATTGCACTCACTCAGCTTTTCTACTTAACTGCTTATAGTCCTTCCTGCCCTCGCCCCGCTCCTCCCGTTGGGTTCTTAAGGGCTTCTTAAGTCACCACCAAGAGAGAAATGCCATCTTGATTCACAGGTCGCCACTTGTGTCAAGGACGCTATTCTCAGCCTGCTAGCCTGTTCTTTCACTAACATACCATGGGCATTTAATTCATTATCTACATCCCCGCCTGGTCATGGGGACAACAAGTACTGTATATATAGTCTCAGTCCTCTGACTGAGGAAGTGGCCTTGACCCACCAAAACTCATAGTAAAATATAGCACTCTATAAGGTGCCACAACGTTTAACGTCTCACAACGTTATTTTCTTGTCTGATATACTTCTTCAACGGTACCCGTTTTCTCCCCGTCAGTGTCCACCCCCTTCTTTTGGGGAAGCAGTGGTGTAGCCCAAGACCTCCGCTCCGCCGGAGCGCAGTAAATCAAACTACTACTCTTCGCTCTTGACAACTTCCACCGCCTCCATTCCTGGTCTATGCCGCGCGCGTCACTACGCGCGCGTGCACGCCCGACGCTCCGTTTCCGCGCCCCCTCACCCGCTCCCGAGCTGTCTCGCGCCGGCTCTTCCTCCTCCGAGCGACGGTTGAGGGGAAGAGGGCGCTTTCCCTCCCCCAACCGGTGGCCTGCGAGAAACAGCGCGGGGTCGAGCGCGGGGGGCGCGCGCGCGCGTGTGTGAGCGAGCTGCTGTTCGGTGAGAAGGAGAGCTTCTAATGCCGCTGCTGTGAGATGGCATCATTTTGCTGCGCTGTGGCGGCAGCGGCACTAGAGGCAGTGGCGGTGCCAGCAGTCGGGAGCAGTGCCGAGGGTTGAGGGGACAACCCTCCGCCACAGCGAGGGGCCGGCAGCGGCGGCACCCCCACCACCACCCCCCCCCTCCCCAAGCGGCTGGGCTCCGAGCCACGGTAAGGCGGACCGAGAAAGACAAACAGCCTGCTTGCCTTTGCCGGACTGACAAACAGGCTGCGCCGCCGCCGCCGCCGTCTCGCTGGGCTTGTTCTTGTCGGTGGCCTGTTCTCGACTCCCTTTCGGGACCGGGGGCAGGCGGGGGGGGGAAGAAGGCTGATCATGTCAGGGATGGGTGAGGAGACGGCGAGAATCGTCTGATTGCTCGTTAGGGTGCCGTGGGGGGAGGGGCGGCTGGGTTCCTCCCTCATCACCCCCCTTTCCTGAACTCCCCCTTCCCGTGCGCCGCTTTCGGTGGTAACGGGTGGGCGAAGTGGGGGCGCGAATGGGCCGTGCCTTTCCTCGCCGCTCCTTTCCTTCCCCGAGAGGAGGGGTATGTGTGTGGGGGGGAAGCCTAGAGGGCCAAGGGTGCCTCGCTGTCTCCGCCTGCCTCTCCGACCAGACCCTTCCTACTCTTGGCCTGGTGTCACCTTGTTTATTCACATCATGGGTCTTTAACTGCCGAGCGAGGGGGGAGGGCGGGGAGAAGGGCAGACCGTGGGAGTCGGCCAAGCTCGAGGGTTGAGCCTTGAACCCGTTTAGCCGAGTTGGGAAGGCTGGCGAAGGCTTGCGAAGCAGTCCCGCAAGGGCGGCCTTGTCTGTTGATCCAAAGGAGACGAAGATATTAGTTACATACAGTATTGATCTCGCTTTCTCTGAAGTGGGTGGGGAAGGATGGGGCACACTCTCTCTTTCAGGATGATCCTCTGTGACTCTGCAGCCTGTCATCTCTCTTTCTTTCCTCTTTCAACCTGACCCTCCCCGGACAAAAGTACTGCAATAAGATTGTTTTTTTCTCCCCCCCGCCCTCTACCTTTTTCTATTTCTTCCAGAGCACTGCAAAGAAGGCTTGTGAGGGTTCATTGTAAGTTACAAGTTTTGCTACATAACAGAACGAGAGGGAGGTTTGGTTTGACCCTATGCATGTTTGGATAGAAATAAGGACCATTGAGTTCAGTGGGATTTGTCCTCCTCTGAGTGGGCTTACGATGTTGTCTTAATATGTGTTAAATATAGTGTTATGTAATAATCAGTTGGTGGGGTTGTTCTGAAATTTGATTAGAACAGTGAAGGGCCTGCATAGGGAGGCCTACAGATACTTCAGTGTTGAGTTGAATTGTGAAACAAGTGTTCTTCCTTTGGAGTGTTAGGAGGATGGCTTCTCTCAAAATGCTGGAACCTGTTCTGGGTTTACAGTTATTAAAATTAGAGATCAATTAATATTTCTTCGTAAATCTCCTTGGTCTAATAATGGAATGCCATGGGCAGTTTAAAAAGCTGTAATATGAATATATTATTTATACCATAGTTTTTTATTATGGCACTCAAGAATTGGTTTTTTTGGGATTTTCCATGCTGGTACTGACTGGACCAACATCTGGTTAATTTCAACTGTTGCTGCATTTTGAACATTTAGAACTTGTCTTGTATCTTACGAAATAAAATAAGTTCCAATGGTTTTTTGGTGACCTGTGCAGATTTTGAACAAAGATCAGCTGTAGTATAGAACTAATTGTTAATGTTTTTAATGCTGTTAAAAATACGTCTGTCACTTTTGTAAGGAGACCAAAAGTGCGCACCAAAGCTTTTGTAACTAGTCATTATAGCAGTTTTTGTTTTTCTGGTGACTAATAATCTGAAGTTGTCCAAAAATCTTTTACAGAACTATCAATTAGGTAAATTGTTCTCCTTTGTCTGGTCCTTCTATCTTCCGTTTTTCTTAGATAATAAAAGCCAAAAAGGAGAAACAAAATCAAAACAAAACAAAAAGAAAATTATGGGAATAGAACTGGAATGACTCACCTTGAGTTAGGTTATGACCCAATTTTGGTTCTTGTTCCATCATGTGAAGATCAGTGTTGTATAATATACCTGACTAAGTAACCAGAACCAAACATATTGCTGCGTTTGTGTGCATACTTGGAACAGAACTGGAAAAATAATTTTTTGAGACTGTAATTCCCACAATCTCTCTGCTCTGGGAGATTCTGGGAATTGTAGTTCACAATAACATTTGCTTGGAATAAGTGCAGTTAGCTTCAGTGGGACTCATGCATAGCATAGCAGAGGCATCCTTCAGTCTCGAGAGACTGGTATCGTGCTCTGCATGGAGGACTTGGAACAGCATCTAGTGTGGCTGAGAAGGCCAATTCGAGAGTGACAATCCCTTCCACACTGAGGACAAATACAATTTGTACCCCGTCTAGCTCCCTGATTTTGCTACTTTCGTGACTGCCTCTTTGCCTTGGCCTGCTGGGCAAGGGTGTCTTCAAACTGGGAGAGGCGGTGATGCACCGCCTGCCTCCAGGCTGAACGCTCTGATGCCAGGGTTTCCCATCTGTTTAGATCCATTTCCAAGGCCTTCAGATCTCGCTTGCAGATATCCTTGTATCGCAGCTGTGGTCTCTCTCTGGGGCAATTTCCCTGCACTAATTCACCATACAGGAGATCCTTTGGAATCCGACCATCAGCCATTCTTACAAAATGCCAGAGCCAACGTAGACGTCACTGTTTCAATAATGTATACATGCTAAAAATTCCAGCTCGATCTAGGACTATTTGGAACTTTGTCCTGTTCGCAATGTCATTTTAGAACCATGTATAGGAGCAGATTATGATTTCAGTGTATCTGAAAGGAAGAGAGAGAGAAGCAGATTTCTGCTGAAATCACTGGTATTTAAGCCCAGTTCTGTGTGAGTGTGTTTGACTGAGGAACTAGTATTCACCCTATTTTAATTGGAATTGCATTCCTCCTTAGGAAGATTGGCTCAGAATGTGCTTAAATTGGTCTTTTTAGATCCTGTTAGACCTTAATATGGCTTTTACTAGTTTGGTTGGTACTTCAGCTGCAAAATGTATTGGATAAAGACAGTCTTCCCATAATTATCATTGCTCTAGTGACTTCCAGCTTTGTTCCCACAGTGTATTGTACACTAGATTGCCTCTGACTACTTCAGAACTTCAGCTGGTACAGCATGTAATGGCTAAAGCATGGTTGGGCAATCCTATACGTAACAGAGTAGTTATATATACAGTACATATTTACTCAGAAAGAAGTTCTATTGCATAAATCAGGCTTACCACCAGGAAGATGTATATAGAAATACAGCCTGACATTAACTGAAGCTATGCACATCAGTGGGAATGAGGGGAAAGGAATTTAAATTCACTGATTATTTTTATGTGTGGAAATCACTGGAGAGCAAGAGACCTAGAGGGTTCTCTGAGACTATTACTGTTGAGATGGAAGTTTATTTAAAAGACTTTTTACCCCACCTTTCTCCTTAAAAGGACACAAGGCAGCTTATATCATTAAAAGGCAATATTAAACTAAAAATATCACTAACAGTAGTGAATATACAAATACTGTACTAAAAAGGATCAAACAAATATGATATTATAAAACATAAGCAACACAAAAACACATTGAAAGCATTAAGGTACAACAATCCATTTCAAAAAAACCACTCAGGAAGCCGGTCACTCGGGGAGACAAGTAAAAATAGGGCTAGCTTAACCTCTTGTGGAAGGGAGTTCCAAAGTCTGGGAGCAACAACAGCATGTTATATTCAAATACTGGTGTTTCTGTTGGGATTCTGTAAATCTTTAACACCGCATAAATGCAAAAGTATATACATATTGGTTGTTCTGGGTTTTTCGGGCTCTTTGGCCGTGTTCTGAAGGTTGTTCTTCCTGACGTTTCGCCAGTCTCTGTGGTCGGCATCTTCAGAGGACAGGTTGCTGTCCTCTCAAGATGCCGGCCACAGAGACTGGCGAAACGTCAGGAAGAACAACCTTCAGAACACGGCCAAAGAGCCCGAAAAACCCAAAACAACCATTAGATCCCGGCCGTGAAAGCCTTCACGAATATATATACATATTATTGTTATGTGCCTTCAAGTGGCTTTCAAATCAGTTCAAATGGAAAAAAAGTATGTCCCAGCCTTTAGGTTTACACTCTAAAAGAAGTAAAACAAGGAAAAGGGGAGGGAAGAGCAAAACAGCAAACTTATGCCAGTGCACAAAATTATCAAGTTCTTGTGAGTAACAAGACCCAAATTGTGCATTAGCGATAATTAGAGCTGAAGTTATGTTATTTTCTAGAGACATATTTCAGACAAACCTTCTCATCTGAGAAATCAGATTTGCATACGAACAAGGTACTTTTATCTTGAACAGTTAATCACAGAACAGAACAGGTTAATTTGCGAAGTATGGAAGGTGAGAAAAGCTCTGACTGGGATGTTATACACAAACAGCATTTAGGGAGCTCCCTTTTCTAGTGATGGGTTGTCTATAATGTGTAGTTTAGTAATGTTTAGCTGTAATGTGTGGCAGTGAGATGGGAACAGTTCAGAACCCGAATAAGTTGTTCCTCTTAGCGGATCTGTTACGGAGTGACTATGCTTATTTGTCTGTTTATTTAAAGCATTTGTACCCTGCTCTTCAGCTGGAAATGGGCCCAAAACAGCTTACAGTAAAAACAAGGCATGTCTCCCTCTAGTGCAGCCTGATGAAATGGTTGCTGCTAAATAACAGTTGAGGAACAGAGAAACCACAGGTTGCTTGCCTTGTAGCAACAGAGACCTGGCTGCCCTTCACTTCCCCTGACAAAAGTTTCCTTTAAGGTAACCAAATTGCTCTCAATAGCTTGGTCTAGATTGTTTGTGCTCTGATTAAATCTGGCCCTCTCCCCTCTCCTCTGCCTTGGGCTGTAGTAAAAGCTCTTTTTCCAGCTACTTGGGAAGCTCTAGGCCTTCTTCTGAAGAATTGCCTGCTTTTCTGTGAACCTGTCTCTGTGTTAAGATTATTTGTGGAGACCCTACTCTCTTCAGAGGGGAGACAAGTGATAACTGGTCTGTGGTGGCACCCCTTTTATGAAATGAAGAATTTGTTTTGCTGCCAAATTTTCTTGGCTTCAAGATCTGAGTCATGTTTATCAAAACTTTCATATGAACAG